CACAAATGGAAAATTTCCAATCGTGTAAAATATCAAGTTAAAAACCATTATAATGCAAACATAGAAGAATACTGTCGGATTAAGTTTCTATAAATAAACGTGGAAGCGTTGTGTTGTGGCTTCTCTTTATTTCTACAAAATATTAGCTGTCTCTGGCGGCGCTCGATGAGACGAGGGGGGAGGGTGACGTAGCGATAAAAACCTCTCCCGCGGTATACTACCGGAAATAGCATATCCAACCTCGATAAAGCCCTTCCCGACGTGTCTCGCGGTGCCAGTGTTTTCTGAGTAAATATGTTTAATGGAAATCGACGCGAAAGTTTCTCGCGCGTATGTTCCGTTTCGAAGGCATCTTTTTTATCTCTTTGCTTGTGCAACCAATGTATCCACGTGGCTGATAACGATAGGGTCTGGTCACCTGGAATCGATACCGCGTGAGTCGGATCGATAATAGTGACTGCCAGTCGGGTCTCCAGGTGCAACTTCTCCCACTTCCTCCCCCTTTTCTCTACCTCGACCGTGCTTGACCCCCGCGTTACTCTTCAGAGGAACTCTCGACATTCACGGAAGCATTTTTGTCCGATAATATTGTCACGCATACAAACGAAATTATTTCATGTATCAAAATATCTGCTGAAATGCTCCGATATCACAAATCTCATTTTAATCGATTCGATTTTTTTTATTTTTATTCTTGTATATCATTCATCAATCTTATTTCTTCGTAATCGCTTATCGGTTCTCGAGAGCGATCTCTCGCATTATGCTATCGCTCGGTCACGAGGCGAGATAGTAACCTAGTAACATCCAAAGGAATGACTATTGATCGGTTGATGCGTTTTTAACCGGGCTGTTTTTCTAAGCGATCAAAATTGCAAGTTGAAAAAATGCAACTTTAGTATCGCATAGAGACTGGCAACTTTATAAATAATCTAATGATGAAAAAAAAGGATCGATCAAACATTTGTTTAAAATATTCAAAATAAAAAACTAAATACAGATTCTCACAGTATCTTTTTTTACTACATCGCAAAATTAAAAGTTTATGTCAAAATTATTTGCAATACTCGAGGGAGATTTTCATCCTTTTATTTTTATAAAATTACTTTGTGCATATGTTGTTTATACTTGGGCGTAATTTGTACAAAATTTATTCGTGAATTCAATGACTTATCATGCGCCTAGTGTTTGACAGACACTACGCGATAACTAGCAACCAGCCAGCTTTGAGTAAAACGATACCGGCAGACAAGGGAGGGATGCTTTTATCGGTCGTAAAACAACGTTAGGCATCCACGATAACGAGGGAGTCGCGAAATGCCGCGGGAACGGAACTTTCGAAGGAGAGAGCGAAGGGAAATCCAATCGCTAGTGGCGCACACAAACGGTATTCAGAAGGACTCACCTACACATATATGCGCGTGTTATGTTGTTGCGATATCACCTCGAAATTTCATAATATCATCGTTATATCAGCGACAATTTAAAATATCATAAAGCGAAATAATGCGCGAGGCGATGGAGTGATAGGTGAATGCGAATATTTACGCATCGAACGCTGGCGATTTCGCGAGATAGCGATACGTTGTCTCTAAGGAAAAACGTAGTCGAGAATTTTGGAAATGGAGCGAATCAAATAAATGAAATCTAATAAGCTGAGGTATTTAATAATCACCTCATTCTAGCTGTCTTATCGTTTTTGGCACAGATTATAAAATTATATATTGCGTTGTTTTTATTGTTTTATATTATAATAAGTGTAAATTCTTTTTTCTTTTTCATGACAATTCTGCAAAGGAACGCCACTTTAGCTTTGTCGCTAATAATATTACATGTGATGGGATATATTTAAAATGTAAAATTTTATCTCATCAACTTCAAACGAATTTCAATAGAATTTAGATTTAATTAGAGATATTTGTCGTCGAAATATCCAGTCATACGAAGAAATTTTAACGTATATTAACGGCGATTTTTATGTCTCGTTGACGTAAAATTACGATGTGGACTTTCTATAAGCGAATGTAACAAAATTTCTTTATGAGAAGAAACGCGGCGCAAGATAATGATAGTAATGGTGCTGCAACCTGGACGTGTCATTTTTCGACGGCTAGCGCTTTCGCGAAGCGGGATGGAAGTTGATCGAACGACGAGAGGGTTGATGAAGGAAAAGGAGATGGAGAACGTTATCCGCAGCACAGAGTCGTAAACTTCGAAGGAGCTTGTAATAACGATAAAATACGATGAGGAAGCCTGGTCGAGCGAGAAAGCTCTCTCTCTCTCTCTCTCTCTGACTCTCTTCCTCTTTCTCTCGCGCGCTTTCTTCACTGTATATGTTCAAACCGACGAAGTTAGGCCGGAAGTTGTAAACTCTCTCGAAACCCAGGAAGCCCGCAGCGTGTTAACTTCGCTCATCGGACATCCCTTAAAATATTATATACACATGGCCGGACTTAGATTGGTCTCGGCTACGCTCGTCACGTCACCTTGTTACTCGATGCATCGTTTAAAAATTAATTTACCTGCAGAAACTCTACCGATAGACGTTGTTAATAATTTCTCATTATACCTATAATATCTTTATCTCCTTTTTATCACTCTTTAAACTTAATAATGCAAGCGAGTCATATTTCATCAGAAATCGTTCTAGAATAAAATCCATTTTGAGAAGACGTGATGATAGACAAATATAAAAAAAGAAATATAGACAATTTCAAAAATTTCTACATACTTTCAGAAAGTTAGTGCAATTACCGTTAAATTATAAAAAATAAATATAATAACGTAGAAATATTTCTCAAAATAGAATGTTATTTTTCTCGTATGCTAGAGAATAATTTCTAAATCGCCGTAATATCGGGTCATGACAGGCCTTAGCAGCGATGTCAAGGCCATGCTAGGAAAGCCCATCACGAGAATCTTCCTCTATTTCCCTCTTCAGAGAGCAAGAGGGAAGTAAGCCGAAACTGGAAAGAGCCTAGTTGAACATTGATCGCGGCTACGTTACGGGTGTATAGCGCCACACCGGCTTTTCTGGTTTCCGGCAGGGTTCTCGAAAGCACCCTCGAATTCTCGCTCCACGATAATTCGCTGATGAGAAACTCCGAGCCCTTTCTCTCTCTCTCTCTCTCTCTCTCTTTCCTCTCTCTCTATCTTTCTCTCTCTTTCCCGTAATTCCCTTTCCGGACGTACTTGCGCCGCGAGCGTCTATTTATTTTAACAACCGACTAATCCACTACGTGCGCTCTGGTTTTTTGCTCGTTATCAGGAATCTAAAGAGCGAAAGAGGCTTACTCGTATGACGGTTCAAATTATTCTTCGGAATATAGCTCAAACACCGGTCTTTCGGTACCTTTGCGTTTTGAATATATTTCGAATTTATTTGAAATATATAGGCATGTATTTATCACTCTAATCAATATGTATCCAAGTATTTTGCAGATATTTGAACCACAATTTCTAATACTTAAACTGTGAGTTTGATTTTAGGATACATTTTCATGAAACTGTGGATTTAGCATATACACAATACGTCAGAATTGCACTAAATTAAGGCGCTCTAAATTATAAAGTTTATCATCTCGTATGATATCGAGGTTCATTTCAATGTTCTTTATCGTCGATTGCCGAATCACGATTTGCGGAAAGAAAAGTCCGCGGATAGAATTATTGCCGGAACGCAGGCGGCTATGAGTTATCGTCCGCGATTTTTACCAGCTGTATCGCATCCGAGCCATAATTTCACGAGAGATTTGTGGGGCGTAGTTTGTTCGCCGTGGGTCACTAAAAAAGAGAGGGAAGCAGGAAGAGAATTCGCCTCTTTCCCTCTCTTTTTCTCCCACATTTCTGCAAAACGAGTTATTTACTGGACTGAAAACTACTCGCGTTTCTAATCCCAAATAAAAGTGTTCGATGGCGACCCGGAAACGGCTCTCTCTTCATCGCACCCGTTCGTAAACGGGCTTCCGCTTTTACCAGAGATGAACGTCAAAACGCTCAAACTCACATTTATACTTGAGTTATAGATAGATGTATTTATCCTAGAATCATTGAGCGTAACAAAATTTAGATGCGCATTTTTGACCGAAACATTATATATCCGCGTATTCATTAAGCCGAAAGAACTATATAGTTCTTTTTCTAAGTCAAAATTTTTCTATGATATACAGGATGCTTCTTAATAAATGCGAAAAATTTTAAATGATTCTTTGTCGAAAATTAAGGGAGGTTTTCCTTATAAACATAACTCCTACATCCCTCCCTGTGGAGTTACACGCCTCCAAAAATCATTATAGGTTTTTACTTTTTAGATTTTTATTATAATTTTGGTTTTGTTCCAATTTTTCCAACATTTATTCTAATTTTATTTTAAGTTCGAAACCTATGTTATTTAACATTATGCTGTGCACGATAACGTATTTTATTTTTCTCCTTAAAAACTACTGATTTTATGCAAAAAATAAAAGAAATAAAAAAGTTTCTAAATAAATCAAACATTTTAATGCATATTTTTAGATGATCATATTCCAGCCCATTAAAAAGTTCTGATCAAAAATTGAATAGAGATTGCTAGTTTCATCCCTTTATAACAATACGGGAGACTGAAAGAAATATTAATAAATAACCTTTTTACTAGTAAAAAATATCCTAATTTCATTTCTTTAACTTGTTTCAAATTTTAGAAAAAAATAAAAACCTAATTTTTACCCCCATTTTTGGAGGAGTGTAATTTCACAGGGAGGGGGATGTAGGAATATATGAAAAACCCCTTTCGACAAAGAATCATCTCCTAAAATTTTTCGCATTTATTAAGAAACATCCTGTATATAGACCTGTATATAGACATTTCATCTTTTCATCTTCCTGTATATAGACATTTCATCTTTTTCTCAATTAATTTTAAATAAATAATACTTTGTATTTAAGCGGAAGGTTAGTTCAACCTTAATTTCCGAGAACGAGACGAGTATATATGAAATACGCTTGATTCTTCCTTGCAGGAGTCGATACGATCTCGGGTGGCGATGGACTTTACTGGTAGTGTGGGCAGGATAGTTGATGACCCCAAGGAAGCTAAGGACATAGCTGAGAACGAGGGCATGATTTGGCGACGGAGGTGGCGACCATTCTCGCGTACACCACCAGGTTGTGCTATGATGAGGCTGCATGGTCTCGACGGTGGCATACATGTTCTTCAGCCTTGGTTCCACGGCGGTCTCAAGAGGGATGTCGCAGCGGCCATTATAAGGGATCACGGTAGTGTCGACGGGTAAGTTTTAATTGATTTTGAACTAGAAAAAATATTAACTAAATGGTCAAAGTGAGTGTGAAAAGTTTTTACATTTATCTTCAAACTTTATTCTTGAAGAATTTTATTTAATCGTTTAAGGTATATTTAATGTAGAAAAGTTAAATACATTTTTTTACATTTACTTGAAGAATTAATTTGTATCAAGTATCAAAATTTAGAAAAATGAGCAAGATAGAGTGAGAAGAAGAGATTATGTTTTTTATCATTTTTCGTATAAGAGCGATTCTATTTTAAATTTCTAAAAATAACGCGAATCTTTATAGTGAAACATTAAACTTGTCTTATTTTAATTTATGTCAGACTATAAATTTTTCAAGCAACAATTATGTCAGAGCTGTTTTTTCGGAGTCAGATTGTTTCTTCTCGACAAGTTGTTCGATCACGCCTGCGAGATGATTAATAGAGTATCATCGCGGGTTACAACTGCGGTATCGTAAAGATGCTCCTTTTCCTCTCCCCAAAATCCCGATCTCATCGATGCTAGCGATGATAACTGTCATCATCCGGAGAGAGGGTCCGCTTCGAACCCGGTTGAGAGTTATGACCTCGAAGATGCCGGCGCGAACGACACGCCTGACCGGCGGTTACGTAACTCTCGCGATTATTACGAGCGATCGTAAATCACGATGAATTCCTATCGAGCATCTTGTTTCTTTCGCCCACCTTTACTTCTCGTCTTTCTCTTTCTTTTATTAATATCTTATTATTTGCTAATCTGCTTGTGGTCGCTCACGCATTGAATTTCAATGGCAACGCTTTGAATTTCAATGGCAACGAGGTTGTCCAACTGATTTTATGTTTGCATAAGCGTGACGTTTCGCATTTAATTAATAATAATTTGATTAATAATAATAATAATATATGTGTATTTTTTTCATCGTCGAGAAAATAAATGATAGACAAGATTCGATTCATATATAAAAATGTGAGTAAAGACGAGCAAAAAATGAAATTCATCATCGTGCAAACGCACACAAACCGCTATTTATAATGTCAAATATATATATAAATAATTATAGAATCATATTTCATTCTCTTTAAACAGATATTCGAGCATAATTTTTTTCTTCCTTTCGCCTCCTCTCATTTCCCCTCTTTTTTTTTTGCCTCCCGTTGCCTTTAACTATACCGCCTTGTCCGAATCCGTCACCGCGACCACATTGACCTTCGCATTTAACCCGTATTGACCCGGTATTCCCATCAAGCCTTACACGTGTAGACACGCCTTTGAAACGTTAGAAATTATTAATATCCTAAATTAGATTTCATTATTATATTCGCATAGTCACTCTTGAGATGGTACATTGCTCTCCAGGGTGCGTTACATATATTAGCGGAGCGAAATTGCACAGCGTAATTAAACGTTAAGACTAATTCTAGAGAGACTTAGTGTTTACATAAAATAAAAAATACGGTTAATAAAATATATGAAAAATATTTGTGGACGAAAATTGTGAAAAAAGGAAATTCTGAAAATTGTACAATTCAAGTAAATAACTTGTCAACGCGTCTCAACGATTTCATCTAATGAGTCTTGCATGTAGCAATTGAGTTGACGTTAATCATCATCCATCGATGATCTTCTCTATCGACCCGATCAGCGGCATTTTGCCGATTATTACAGTTTTTCGCTTGTCCCATCCGCTTATCTTTCCTCTGTGTGTACGTTGTATGTGTGTATTCCTCGATCTCATCTTTTATTCGTCGTACCAGCGTCGGCAATCGCGGATAAATGGTTAATTAACGACTCTCTCCATCTATCTCGTCGCGCTTAGCTCCGGGTAATTGAGTGCTCGGAGATCACGTAGTTGTCTCCGGGTTTTACGTTCGTTCAGGGGCCCTTGCATAAATTTGCATAATCTCGATCGTACTCGCCTCGCCGCCTTCTCGTCGTATTCTCTTCCTCGTTCTTTCTCTCTTTCTCCCGACAATGTGAAGAGAAAGGTGAAAAGAAGAGAAGAAAAGGGAAGAAATGGAGAAAGAAGGAGAGAGAAAGAGAGAGGAAGAGAATCCCGTCCCATACCTTCTTTTACCTAGCATTTGCGAGTTTTTCTCGTATCGTGCTCATAAACATCGTTGTCGTTAGATGTGAAAAACATTCTAATCGATTCCACTCCAAACATTGTTTACTAATAGCCTTTTGTCCCTCTATTGCCAGATCGGATAGTTCGAGAGATAGAGGAGACCATCCATATTCTACCGATGGACGAGCTCCTTTGTATCGTACGGAACCGTAACATCGTTATCCTAACTCGGGATAGTCCTTGGACATTACCGTTCCGTAGCTGAAATTACCGTCGTGTCGGTGTGTTATCTGCTTGCTTGGCGGACGCAGAATATTCACTCGCATGAATATTCTATTGGGCGAGCATCATGGTTGATGGAAGGCGATGCCGGACATTAGTAAACATTACCGCCGCTGTATATGAATAATAAGGGCGAGATAATTAAAAATTAAGTTACGCGGCATAGATAAGAAAGCTTCTTGCAGTGAAACGAGTAATCAAGCAAGTATTTTCGATTTTCTGTAATAAAAGGTTACGAATTTTCAAGATATTACGGATCAGTCATGAAAATAAAAATCTTTTTTCTCGATTTACAAAATGGCGAATCGTTTCATGCATATTTTTTTACGAACACAGTTACAAGTGTTCTACAATATATCTCATTGATTGTTAATACCATATGTTTATCTTAATTGAAAGGGAGCAATGAATGTTTGATAAAATTTTATCGAAAGGATGCTATTCTTGGCGATGGCAGCGAGATTTCTCGGCGTAAAAGTACCGGGAAAGAAGAAGGAAACGGCTTCCTCTACTCGCCAGAGTTTTACGATCGCGTGGCCACGTTGCGAGCGTTTTACGATGCGACTCTCTTTTTCTCTCTTTCTCGCTGCAGCACCCAACCTGCTTCGTGACCGACCGGTCGGTCCTGTCTTCGTCGTTACATCCCCTGACCTCCATCCCTTCCCTCCCTTTCGTTCTCTCGTCTCTGCTGTTTCTTTTTAACCGTTTCGCTCGTCCCGCTGCCTTTTACGACTATACTAATTTATACCGCGATATATCCTGGACAAGCCGTTTGTGTATGTCCTTCCTGATATCAAACATCTAACACCCGGTGCAGACCTGCATGTTACAAAAAGCAGCCTATCTCTCCTGCATCTTTCGACTAGGCCTGTATTTGAATGTCTTTCGTTTCAGTTTTTAACTCTTTCTCTTACGGCTTCTGTATATACACGTGGCATTCAAATCTCTTAAAGATTGTCATTCAATATTAATGTGCGCGATAGTATGTTTGATAATGCATCCTTATAAATGTCTTACACTATGTCGTATAATAATATCAATCATTTATTTCGATTGCTATTCAAATTGTTATCACGATGTGGGAGAAGTTTGATGTGAAATAAATCGAATTAAATTAATTAATTTGATAGAATCTACATTAATATTCGCCACGAATTCTCAAAATATTATGTTTTACATATTTGCAGTGTGTTTCTGGTCAGGGAGAGCAAGAGCAATCCGGGAGCCTTCGTTCTGACCTACAAGTACAACGACAAGGTCTTTCATGCGCAAATTCAGCCCGTAAGTATCTGCGATCCTAATCGATAATTAACGATAAGAATTGATCCTTTTGCAGTCGAACATTTCGCGGTGATTAAATGCAGAAAAGTTTTTTCGATCTTTAAAGTCGAATGCAATTAAAGTCTGCTGCAATTATATCACGTGCAAGTTAATTACAAAAATTAAAAAAATTCACCTGATTTTTTTGCTATGCAGATTAACTTTTTTGAATAAATCCATATTAAACTGTATTTATTAAACTATATCCTACTTTTATATCCTACTTTCAATATCATCGGTGTTATTTAATGCGATAAATAATATTTGATAACAGTTTGATATAGTTTTTCATATCTAACTTTTTAATTTTGTTACAAATTATTATTCGAAGTATGCTTTTTAAAAACAATCCTGTAATATTTTTTAAACATTTCAACGTTGTTAAAGTCTTTACGTTGATCAAATTTTCTCTTTCAGATTTTTGACGAGCGTCGCAACTGCTGGTTATATACTCTCGATAAGGGGGCGACCAAGTTCTATGACTTGCTGCAGCTGGTCGAGTTTTATCAACTGAACGCGGGCTCGCTACCTACACGATTGACCCACTACGTGCAGAATGGGGTGAAACCGCCGCTGCACAAGCCGGAGGACGGCGGTGCCTCGCCATCGCCGCCTGAGGGCAGCAGCCAGCGAGTCAACAGCACCGACAAAGTCGCCGAGCCGTGCAGCAAACCGAGCAACATTTGAGTATAGGACAGCCGGCGACCCGTCAGTGTTGTTGACGGCGATCGTCTGTCGACCGTTTGCGTCACCAGTGGACCCCTTGTTCCCGTCACCGACAATATCGTGATGGTGCATCGTAACAGCAGTAACAACAACAACAAGCACCTGGGGAACGATAACAATGGTAATGGTGACGACAATGGAAATCGCGGCGACGTCCACTCGACACGGTCGGGTTGCTGGAGTCTATGTCTTTGCAGTTACAACAAATGGGATTTGTAGCGCAATCGGTAGTAGCAGGGCGATATTCGAGCACGCATGAAAAAGAAGAAGGTTGTCTTGTCGCGAAGACGGAATGAAAGAAGAAAAAGAGGAAAGAAGGGTGAGATTGTGCGGCTTGAGAATCATCCTCAGATCGCGATTTGTTTTAATAAGCAACGCAGCGTATGTGCGACGTCACTGGGTCGGCTGACCCGTGTAACAAGAATGACCAATTTTTAACGGCGAAATAATAACAAAGAAGATATGATCACCGTGAGAAAAAACACAGGATCGCTGTAGTACAAGAAGTTTTATTTTTATTTTTCACGTTCGTTTTGATGTTCTGCTCACGCGGATAATGTCCAAAGTAGCACGGCGTTGATATCCGCCGACAGCGATCCTCACGGAAACGAAAACCTCTTTGATGGTTTCAATCGTACATTACTATGTTAGTTGTCGTGTAATAAAGGATCCATCTTGTGGTCTAGACTTCCCCAAAGACCAAACTACTTTCGTTTCTCTTTTATTTAAGATTTTCAGCGATAAATATGTCTAGACGATCAAAGAAGCATATATTTGTTTTTCCCATTTTTATTCTTTTTTTTCTTTTCATTTTCTACATGTCCACGTTTGCACAAACATGGCGCGCATGACTAGATTACTAATCGTGCGCGAAGATATCGTCATTCGCAAAGTTATTCCGTAAGAAGAAGAGAAAAACGTGATTGTTCACGCGTATGTATGCATAATGCTGCATTATATGCATCATTTGGATGCGAGAGAAAGAAAGTGGATAGATAAGCTGTCGCGAATTACAATATAGTTATATCGTAATGAGAATTAGCAATATATAAGAGGAATACAAAGTTTGATCTTTCCACATATGCATGTCATGAGCGCGCGTGTATGTATGTATGTACGTACGTGTGTGTATGTATGCGTGCGTGCATGGGAGAGAGAGAAAGATGCGACAGAAGTTACATGTGATTTTCTCCTCTTCTATTTTTTTTTCGTTTTTTTTTTGATACGCATTATGCGTATCGACCGTCTCTTTTGTTTATTCATTTCCCTGAAGAGAATGCGCGACAAAGTCAACCGCGACTGTCTACCACACGACTTTGTCGCCTGACGATGACGACGACGACGACGACGATGACAAAAGAGAAGACTCGGCCAAAATAAGGGAGAGGAGAGAGGTATGAAGCGTCCGCGTATTCCGTTCATTAGCTGTAAGGCTGTGTCAGACTGTTTGGAAGATTGTTTGGAAACAATAGTGTTGAGATTCATGGTTATTCCCGAATCCAAGGTGTTCAAAATTGAACGAGACAAGAAAAAAGACATATGTTTTTTCGTAGAGGTGTCTTGTGTCTTGTTTGCAAAATTTTTCTTACAATTCGCGAAAAACCAAAACGCGACGCGAATTCTCCCTGCAATATAAAGTAGGAGAGAAACAGCATATATAACACTAATGAATCTAAGAAGTATAATACGATTAGTATAAGGATTCTCAATGTTGAGGGCCGAGGAACACGCTCGCGAATTCTTGTGGTACTGCGCACCAGAAGATATGGAAGCGTGTTTCTTGGCAGATATATGATCTCATATTTTACAGATGTTTCAGTTGCGTGAGGCATTTGTTGGTTAATACGAATTCGGAGAGGTTCAATTAATTATTATAAAACTGTGCTAAGAACGCGTAACATTTTGAAATAAGAGAACGAAAGAAAATGAGTGAGATAGAGTGAAAAAAAATGATATGTGTGTGTATGAGGAGGAGAATGAGAAAGAAGTTGTGAAGATGAGATTGGTCACGCGATAAAACACAAGAGAGAGGTATATTTAAATACAAAAAAAATACATAAATAATATGTATATGCATGTTCTAAATTATGCAGTTTAATTTTGTATTCGGGATATATATTAACTATCGATCGCGGAAAAAAAATCGATGGTGTAAAGTTCGTGTAGCGTCACCGGATGCGAACGTTGTCGTGCATTCTAGAGATTTATAATACAAAAGTTTTTAACATAATGTTTTTCAAATAATAATTATGTGAAAGTCTTATAAGATATAAAAGCGAATCGATAGAAACTGTGGAGTGTGCAGGGTATGGACGCGATAGACATTATTTACGCAATGTATTACAATTCGTCGAAAGAACAGTACCAAGCCCTTGCCCCTTATATTCGTATCTACTTTTTAATAATATATTTTTTCATCGATTCTATATTTATTTAATGTCGAATGTAGCGCCTATACGCGTCATCTCTTGAAGTGGTACTTTTTGAGTAAGTCGAAGAAGTGCAGATCTTATACAGATATGTAACACAGAACAATTGACACACTCATACACACATACACACACACACACACACACACACACATTAAAAATATTGACATAAATTGCATTAAATTTTAGAATAGTAGCGCTTTATAGAACTAAATATTAGGATAACCAATTCTTCGTGAATGGGTATGAAAAAAAACAATCTTCTGTAGAACGGTGGTCTGCAAATCGGCGTTCATCCCCGAGCCGTTCGCGTGAAGTTCACCATCCCTCTCGAAATTCAAGTTAAAGTCGAATTAACGAAATTACCTCTTGGAATACGCTTATCGCGCGAAAAGAAATTGTCCTTTCGGCCTTTCGTGTAAATATGTCTATTTAGGCCAAAATCCCATGTTTCCCTATCCCGATCATCCCGTCTACCCGTGGACCGTCGACAATTTGAAAATCAACTTTGATAGCGGTTAATCAATCTTGATTTTTCAAGTCGACACCGCGCGGAAACTTCCTTCTCTTTCTCCTTAAAATACGAGAACCGAACGGAAAACGAGACAAATGCCGAGTTTCTCGTGACCACCAGCGTAAAAGAAGCTATAAATATTATTATGATGATTAATTCATAATTAACTATATAAATTATAATAAAATATATTTTGTATTAATGTAGTCACGAATACGGCAAACGCAGTGGTCTGTGAAGACTGAACCTAAATAAGAAAACGCAAATTAGTCCTGTGCGAATTTCATCGACGTCTGTTAAGAACAATAAACTGATCAGGTAACGGAACGTTTACTATTGTGTTTTTATTTCTATCCCCGGACAGTATATTTTATTTCATTTACATTACATTTTATTTTCGTAATACATTGTATTTTAATAATTTATTTCATTATTAAATGTTATTGGCGGGTATTATTCGTAAGTTAATAATTTATTTTATCTGTCTATCCCCTCGAGAGATTATTTTGCCTTTCTTCTTTGTGAAAGCTATGGCCACAACTTGAAGTACGTTGTCATAAGGAACTAAACTCGTCCACACTCGTGGATGCGAGTGCTTGCGTATGCGATCGAATTACCCGCAGACGTTGATGAAACTCACATTATATCACTCTGACAAGCGAATATTCCGATGCAGAGTTCGATCCTGTGTTGGCTCCAAACTCAATCAATCGCACGAGTTCGATTGTATACATCAAAGCAGTATACAGAGTAAATTTTAGATCGCTAACCGAGCGAAATAAAGATCTGAACGAACATATATTTAATGGAAACCTAAAGTCGAAAAAGGAAAAAAACTGTAAACGTACAAGTTCCGGCCAGGCTTTTTGCTGTTGCACTCTCGTGCAATTTACAACATGCAAAGGCAGCTTAATCGTAGAACATGTGTAATACGATAATTATGTATATCACCGTCGGATTACTTATCTGTCGACAGTGTATTTCGATGGGAGAAAAAGCGAGAGATCTGTGTGAATGGATTTTACTTTTTTTGAGATCACTTTCGATATTATTATATTTATTATTTAATTTACAGTAGACTCAAAAGACACAATTTTTTAGAACACATCACATATATTTCTTTATTATAAAGCAAATCTCAAGATTACTCGATAAAATTTTAAATGCAACGAATTCAAGTTCTTGATGTTGTAAATTTGCTGTCGATATTTGTAAGTTAAAATTTTGTGTTGCAAATAATTTTAAAACGAGAAGCTTTTCACGAATTCTTATTTAATTTCGTGAACAAAAGTGGGTACCCGGGTATAGAAAGTAAATTACTCACTAGTCCATATTGACAACACACTAGTAGAATCGTCTCGTGATGAGAAAATACGAAATAATAGGAATCTAACGCGAAGATTTTTCGCAATCACGTCCAAAATATATATAATGAAACTACTATCATACGCTCTTCGTTTGCTGATCACAAACAATCGTAATAATAATAATAATAATAGTAATAATCAATCGCGATTTTGCGTTCGCCCGATTCACGATGGACGTGCAAATGAATGCGCGTAGAGTGAAAGAGAGAGTGTACATATGAAATGATTGCTATAGTTGTGTGAAAAAATTCGCGAAAATATCCTTACACCCTTGTAAGGGATGATCCAAATATAGTCACTTGTGACGAGTCGTCGGGTATGATAAATTTGAATATGATATATAGTTATCTATCATCGTTATCGATCATCGTTAGCATTTTTATTTTTAATTTTTATATATTCTAATTAAATATTCATTTTAAAGAATAATTGGATACTAAAAAATAATATCTAACAATTACATAGATATTTAAAGAACAAAAGTAAAAATGTATTTAGATATTACGTGCAAATTACGCAAAATCTACAATTTATTATTTTACTAACTTATTTCGCTCTACCTAATTCATTTTATCCAACGACTCGTGCTGAGATAATCAAAGGGACTGATGTTCCGACAATGGACAATCGCCGGGGCATTCTCAATGGTTGCAGGAACCATAGGTATAATAACCTGAGGTACCTGTGGTCAGCGAGCGATGTATTCACGGATTGGAAATAGGCCAGCTATAATGTTGTATATTTCTACGGGAACGTTTCAGCTGAGAAAAATTCACTCGAGATGGAGGCAGATCGACAAAAAGAAGTGTGTCATTGCGTGTGCATGATTGTGTGCGTAAATATGGCGCGCCGGATGCGCCCGATGCAGTTTATCAAGTTTAACAAATAGAATGTATATCAATCGATATTAACGGACGCACATTAAAATATCTATATGTTTCGACCACACTTTGAAACAGTACGAAGAAGAAAAAAAAAAGAAATCCGCGTTGTCTTCTCAGTTACAAACATGAGAAAGACAAGAGCGAAAACAGCAGAGAATACTTTATACAGGGTGTTCACGACAATTATTTGTTAGAGAAGCCACGAACGATCAAAAACAACAAACGCACAAATTACCGGACCTAGCTCAAAGTCTCCGATTATCGTAGAGGTGTTCATCTTTGTCAGAGAAACGGGACCGGACACGATTAGAGATTTTTCAAAGAAAGAATCCGCTCGCGAGGATGGCGGAGAAATAGCAAGTCGTTTCCGTTCATTACGAGTCATCACCGTCCTCATTCTCTTTCCCCCTCGATCATTCATCGATTCTCTGAATCTCCGTCGTCCGTATCGCGGATATACGTCCCTGGTTGAAGAAGATTTCTGGAAGTGCTCTTGGTACCCATGGTCTTACCGAGATTTTCTGACCATTCGATTACGTTCGCACGCCATGGTTTAATAGTGATATATACAAATGATTGGGAGGGCTAAAATGCGCTGGGTATATCTTCAATGATTATAGGGACCAACACATTAGTGCAATGAAATCGGCGGGTACCTATGGTCAGTGAGTAATATACTCAACCAGGGGTGTCGTGTGAGGTTTTAGAATCTTTTTTTACAATTAGAATTTTTTTAATAGCTCTCACTCACGCATATCTCGTGCAACGCGAATACCGAAACTCTAACGAAGAAGAGTCGAAGACGATCGAAGCGAAGCCGCGAGGTTTCTCGCCTTTCTAATTGTCGAAACGCGCTATCGTTTGGAGAACGATTCGCCACGACTCGCAATATCCGTTCCGTATATAAGCAGAAACGACAGCACCAAATAGTTCGACATATCGACCTCCCGCCCGACAAATCGTCCCTCCTATGCAATCAACCTTCTTATGCGCAATAATAACTCGTTTCCTCTGAAACAACAATATTAATCCGCAATAATAATGTTAGCACCCGTAGCGCCGCGAATACGCGAGAGTCATTGTTATATCTTTGTATGAACATTTAATACGCAATAAATATGTATGTCGTCATCCCACTACATCTGCGGTGCACCTTTACTATCCCGATGTCTGCGATACTATTTTATTTATTTCATTTTGCAAGAAATTTCATCGATGGCAAATATTACATTTATCTTACAGGGTGTTTCTTAATAAAATGCGAAAGATTTTAGGAGAGGACTTTTTGTCGAAAATTAAAGAAGATTTTTCATATAAACATTAAAAAGTTTTAATAAAAAATTGGAGAATAGAGGTTCTTAGTTTCATCCTCTTATAACAATACGGAAGGCTGAGAAAAATATTAATAAATAACCTTTTTACTAGTAGAAAATCCACCTAATTTCATTTCTTCAACTTGTTCCAAATTTAAGAAAAAAATAAAAATCTAATTTTTACCCCCATTTTTGGAGAAGTATAACTCCACACAGGGAAGGATGTAGTAGTATACGTTTATGTAAAGAACGCTCTTTAATTTTCGGCAAAGAATCATCTTCTAAAATTTTTCGTACTTATTAAGAAATATCCTGTATTAATAATAACACAATTAAACGTTTTAAAATTATTTTCATAACATAGATAATTATATGATTTTTCAATTTCATGTCAAAATCCTGTTCTTAAATAATGATGTTATGAATTTGTGATTAATCCATCTAATTTTTTACATTAAAGAAATATACCTGTATTCCTCTAAGAAAGAGAAAGGGATTGTAAAGGAATGAATATAAAGATCGCACCTTTGTCCTTTCGGTTTCCCTATAAGGATGCGTTTGTTTCGCAATTCGGGGGTCACGTGCTTGTGTACACGTCAACACGTGCCTGCCATCCGCGGTATCGGCCACGGTATCCCGACGTCAACGCGAGTGCGCGCGCAAGCTGGCAACAGGTAAATGGCAGGTAAGAAAAAAAGAAGCAATGGAACGCAGGGGGAAAGATGCGGAGGACTAGGTGAGCGGGAGCGTGAGGGGAAGAGAGGCACAGGTGCGCCGACTGGAGGGGACGAAATGGCTCCGACTTCTCCGAGAGAAAGGTGGGAGTTACAGGGAACCTGAGGCCTGGACTCGCCGTCGCCGAGACTCGCTTCGGTTTGACGTTCGTGCGATCGACAGTCCAGCGCGGAAAGCCGTCGATAGTGCGCGATTATTTTTTACCGCGTTTGCATGTGCGCGTTTGTATCTTCCGCGATGCAGGAACTCGACGACGTTACAGTGCATCGCGCGTGATTGTGCGTGGGTGCATGCGTTGGATGCGCGCGTGCGCGCGCGCGCGATGCGGATTGCATTATTATACGGATGACCTCGGTAAGCGGATCTCTCATCATCGATTTTTCTCGATTATAAAATTATGCAAAAAAAAGTTACACGTAAATCATCTTTTGTTATCTTCTCGAAAATTAATGCAGAAAGTTTGCAATTTTTCAATTAAATCAGAGAAAAACCAAAGAATCCAGAATCTATGATAAGATGTCTGAAAAATATTCCGATGATTTAGGATTTCTTAAATAAAAAGAGAATTTTTAAATTAGAATTTCTTTTCTGATTTTGGTAACTTTTCGATACATATAAGCGAATATGCTTTCAATTTCGCGCATATTGTTACTATTGAAAAAAAAATCGTCAGTCGATTATCGTCGAGTTTATCATTGTCATTAGATGCGCGAGAATCCGATTACCAAGCTAGAAGCAATAATAAAGTGCGTATATTCAAAGAGCGCAGAATATATTTCGTAATGAACAGTTGGAAGACGTTGTAAGGAGAATCCGCGGAGACTTTAACGATCACAGTTGCAGATAAGACGAATGAACTTGTATGTCGTGATAATTTCACGATTTATCGCGACATCGATCCGTTGTTTCTCTATGCGAATATTGATCTTTGCTGCTTGGAAACGCCGGTACCATACGCTAGGATTTCCACGATGTTTGGGACAAAAGTTGCTAAATTTCGAATCAATTTTTCCTTGCAAAATTGTTGTTTAATATCAGATAAAATAAATAATCTCTATTATTGTTAAAAAGAATTGAAATATAAATATGAAATATAATTATTAAATGTATAAATATAAATCTAAATGTTATATAAATACAAAAGTAGTGAAATCTTAACTTTTATCTTATTTTAAGATACCAAAATTCTAAATTTTATAGAACTTCAAGATCTCGATTCGATAATATTTGAAATATTTCAGTATTTAGTTAGCAAATGTGTAATATAAATTACGAAAGATCATAATATTTAATCAAAAAAAACTTTCTCTTAAGAAATAATCGATTTGAAACGGTCGAAGAATCCGGCGATTTCTCTTTTTCTTTTCTAGTATTTTCTTATAACTCAAGCATTTATATCGCTTATCGCCCCATATAATGTTCCAATAATGTACGTGTATTTCCGGTATTAGACTATGCTTTCCGAAAACTCGTTAAATATGCATTATACGAGCTCGCTCACTCGCGCAAGGACATCACAATCACAATCAATGAGTATCGTGACGTCCTACCGTTGCAGTTTGCATGAAGAAATCGTCTGAAAATATCTGAACCGACAATTAGACAGTTTCATAATGAGCGGCTAATTAGTAGGTAATTATACGGGACAGCAATGTCTGACAATGAGTAACGTTTGTTCTACTTCATCGCGTGTTGATTACCTGAGAAATAGGAAACGGGGAAACGCGAGCGTGATTTCTTCAAGACTGTGAATGCTTCCGCAATGATTTACGATGTTTCGTCATAAGAAAGATGACCGCGCGTGTGAGAAGATGGTGACGCGTCTTTTCGCGCGACAATATTCATTCTGACGTAAATAACGTGACTGTAAAGCAGTATGTTGCGTAGCGTTATCAATCCGTGAGAGATGTTACAAGAAACGAGATACCGAGTACGTGGCGAAATGAGTCAGTTTCTTTTTAATTAGAACAACCGAGTCACGTGGCTGAATTATAATAGTATTTGCAATTTCTTAACTTACTTGAAATTTGAATTTGATTGATGATCTTCTTATCTCGTTTATGTTTTCGAATCACAAAGTCCACAAGTCACAAAAGATCGTAAAACCCGAAACATCTAGAAGAATGTCTAATTAATTTCTAAGATCGAAATTACGGATTAATCTAGGGTCAATTTTTAGATATTTCTTATTAACTAGTTGACATTATATCTGGTTCAAATTCGGAGGAAAAGTCCAAGATATCGAAAATAAAATTTACGCATAAGTTAATGCTTATGCTGCTTTCGGTTCCTCGATTATGCAATCATTTTATCGCTTAATATTATATTAATATCCGACTTTTTGATTCATGATTCATTTCATCGATCATGGCTATAGCTCGAGCGTACGAATATCGACGACGCGTTCGACCCGTAATGTTTCTCCATGCGTAAAAGCCTTCTTCGTGAACCAGTCGGGCAACATTCCTTCGTCCAGACTGCCTCTGGCGCGTTTAATGCCTACCTCTGACTTCTATTCGGACTTTCCTCGGCGAACGTCGCCAAAACCACTCGTCGAGAGCAGTTAGCGATGCTTTCCGTTATTGCGGGATGAAAAACGGACTCGAGCCTTTACAGCTACTAATGAAAAGTAGACTTGCGAGTTTACATAGAACATATTATATGATAATTAACTGTTGAATTAATATTAAATGACAATATTACACAGGAGGTAAAAATTGTTTGATACAAATATTGTCATTGACATTTTTTCGGAGTGCAAACATGAATTTATAACATTAAGCATTAAGCAATTACCTAATACTTATAGCTAATGAAATTTTTAGCAAAAAAGAAATTTACTTTATATATAAATATTATTAAAGCTTTTAATACATATTAATATTTTATGTGTGAAATTTTAAATTGTACGACATCAATAGCTTTTTCCCTTAAAATTAATCATGTAAAACTATTATATATGAAAAACTATTAAATTAAAAATTTTGTCGGTATTCTTTGGACACAACATTTTTTTTAGCAGAAAATAATTTTCAAAACTTTACTTTCGGAGAAATATGTAATAATCTATATAAAATAGTATAAGAGAAATGAAATATAAGATTTTCAATTTTCTTTTATAATAAAAAGCTGAGGGAACTTTTTTATAATAAATATGTAACGATTTTTAAATTCTGCTCATAGTTTTTAAATAATTCATATAAAACCATCGTTTTATTTCACTCGACAAACATTCGAGACTATGCTATTCTCATTCAAATTCCAATTGTTACACAACACAACATTAGGCAACACCCTAAACTATTGTCTGACACATTGTATGCATTTGGTACCAGATGTACCACGGTGCTCACTGGTGCACATTGCAACTTGCGTTACGACATATATTCGCGTGTACTCACGAGTGAGGTTTATGAAAAATATATAGTATCCGGTAACTAAATGGCGTGGATGTGCCCTAAAAGCACGCGATATGTCATAATATAACGTAAGGAAAGACACGTACATCCTTCGAGCTCTCGGTAAAAAAATCAAAATAACTTGATCGCTACATGTTACTTAAGTATTAAACATTACTATGTTATCAATCATAATATATTGTTCAAGGTAGCAGTCATTTTACAATTGTATGAGTTGCAAACAACTGAACAATTAATTTCACAAAAAGTTAAATACAATTTAAATTCAGATTTAAAATGTTTTATTAAGAACTAAATTTTGATTAATTTTCTTAAATTTCTAAATAAGTTACATCCTCTATTATTATATTAAATCTTAATTGTAGAATTCTGCTTAAAAGAATTGAAAATATAAGTACAAAACGCTAAAAAGGTATGTGTTTACAAAAACACGACATAACAAAATATTTTGATTAGTCAAAATATATAGTTCAGCCTTTACGACTTCGATCGAAAGTCGCTGTCGCGGATAATTTTCCTTCTCTTCACTAAGGTATGTACGTAGAAAATGGCACGAAGTAAACGTTTACCTCGCTGTTTGATACGAAGAATGAGTCACTAACGCGATACGACGCGGCCCTGAGAATATTAGTCTCTCATTATTCGCGTTATATTTTATTTCGAAAAAACAATCGTACTGCTTCTTTATTACGCATAAAGGTATACATAGTTTTATATTATTCTGTTTTATTCTTTTTCAATTTAATCATTTTCTTAAATTTATATAAGCACTTCTTTATACGCCGCAATTTTTTTATATTTCCATCATTGTAATCATAGTTTTAAATATATGTTATTAAGATATATGTTCGTCGCGTAGAGCGCGAACATATTACGTAACTGGAAAAATATGTGACTCTCTGAAGAAAACAACGTAACAGACCGCGAATAATTTACAAAACATAGTCCGCGACGTGATAATAAAATGAGGTTGTCGGTAGGAACCATGAAAATATCTTACGCGACATCGGAGGCTAGTTCGATACATCCAAGCTCGTGTATGTGCGTTAACACAGGTGTTCGAACCGAGATGATACGTAACGCACTTTGTAGACACAGCTCCGAAAGAATGGCAGACGTTAGTGTAATCAACATCGAGTGTAATCAACAAAATGAGAAATACATTTAGCCTTTAAAGAGAGATGAGAGAAGAGAGTCTCTTCAAATCTTCGATTTGAATCGTGCTGTGATCTAAATAAGAATCTATAATATATATCCATATTACACATATATCGATTTGAAATTTTCAGATTTTTTATCGGAAGAAATTAGATTAAAAGGATCGTTATTTTTTTAAATATAAAGATAAGATTTTTCTTTTAACAGTTGCGCAAAATAAAATGTATAATTTATGGCATGTATTATATGCACGTATATTATATACAAGCATTTTTTTTAAATATATAGCTTAAATTGATACATAAATGATCATATTAAAACCGTTTGTAAAATATAATTATAAACTCTTGTTGATCAACGTACAATTCTATCAGAAAATATATACTTATTATATGTATTAAAAGAAACAAAAAGGTAAATTGGTCTGTATAGACAATTTGAAACAATAATAGAAAAGGCTAAAAATCAAATACGTTATAAGAATATTTAAAAGTTTTAATGGTACATAAATTACAAATGAACATAAATTACATGAATTACTCAAAAATAAAAAATCTTTTAATTATGTCCGTTACTATTTCATTAAAACTTTTAAATATCGTTATAATATTTAACATCTTTGGTCTTTAGCCTTTTCTATTATTGTTTCGGTTTATTATATATTTACTGTAATTTGTAACTATTTGATCCTAATAATAATTTATAAGAAATTAGAGATTAAAAATATGACTTCTTATGCTTGAGAATCATTTTAATTTTAATGGCAGTTGAAAAGTACTTGAGAATAACTTTTCAAGTTATTAAATCATATACATTACTCGAGATTATATAATTTAAATGTCTGGACTCTATTTGTTGATTCTTGATTGTTATCAACATTTTTCTCTGATTCTTATATTGTCTTCTCGTCAGCGTATTTTGAAAATCTGTTATATTTAACCGTCAGTATTTGCTTATTTGCTAAGTAATAAATATGCTTAATAAATATGCATTTTCTTTCGAAATACCAAGTTATATTTTTACAAAATTATTTAATAGAAATACGGTTAAATCGATTTTTCTTAATATTTACAAGTTAAGTCATCATATGCAAAAACATATCATATAAAAGTATCATAATGTAAAAACGAGAAATTTCGTTAATTTATCTTGTTATACTACCAGTCCTTTATTTATATAATAATATGCATGTGTACTTTTTGTTTCTTTGTTTTTTCTTTATGAATTCGGCTCTAATATAATAAATATAATATAATATATAATAAATATATAATAATAATATTTTTAGCACCACCAGTATGAAGCCTGCTCAAGGCATACCGTTCGAGTGCCGTTAAGAATCGCCGCAAGAATCGATTGCGGGACGAATTACGATCGTGTCCTAAATCTGTGATTCGAGAGAAGGAGAAAGGCAAAAAAGAAGAATTATAAAACGGATGCGAGAGCAGAGCGTCAAGCCGGTTGATCATTTCAACGAAGTCCATCGCGCATCGAACCGGGATTATCTTAACCGAATGTTTCCGGATGTGATTGTAAACAGCATGAGATTCATAGTGATAGCTGCTATTATATTGGCCGATGTCTCGCTTGCCAATCTTGATCTTCAGGGTGTCAGATGTGGCGAGAAACGTTGCAATGCGTCGGAATATTGCAGCGATTTCGACATGCACTGTAGACCCTGTGCAGTCGTGTGCGACAAGAACAACCACAATTACCAACTAGAAGAATGCATAAAAGCTTGTCAAGGTGAGAATAAATGCACCATCGATATATGACTGGATATTTTGATGGATTAAAAAAGACGATTATCACTCATTTTAACATTCAAATTCATCGCAAAGAGGGTTTCCTAGCTAATCAAATATTATTCAAATCATTAAAAATATTCAAACTTTAAGATCATATCGGACTCTATTATTTGATAATATTTTGACTTATATCTCGTGAACTTGAATTTATAAGTCGGTCAACTTTTTTCTTTCTATTCAAAACCTATTATTATACATATCGTATCGTTCCGGTTTTTCGTTTTCATACAAATCAACATACGTATGGGAAACCGGATAGCAGTACGCGGTGCCATCGTTCACCTCTGTCGAGCCTGGGTCCGTTGACTTTGCACCTGACTATCCCTACCGACTTCCCACACGCGAACGCGGTCGATGAGTCACCTAGCTTCTTTTCTTCCTCCCTTCCATCTTTTCCCGTCGTCCTTTTTCTTTCAGCCTCTTTCATTCCCTTCTCTATATCATTCTTTTTTCTTTTCTACTCCTGCTTGGGATTCAACGTCGGTTCCGCGATGAGGAAGGGGAGATGTATTTCATGCTCCGACAGGTAGGAGAAACCGCGGCTTCGCTCCTCATCGGGGAACGCGCGTAGAATGAAATGCTGTGCCTCTACATCAAAGGATGCTCCTTTGCGTGACGGGATTTGATGTAGTGAAATAGTCCGTGTGGAGTTCCGTTGGCCCCATGGCCCGACAGATTCTCCATTGAGAACCCTCGTTACGGTGTCCGGTTACGTTATGTCGGTAAACTCACGTCGGACTTATGTACAAATTCTCGCGCTGAACATTTTAGTAAAAATGTTCTATGAAATAGGTGCTATTAGGTCGACAGGGACCAATTCTTTTATATCTAAATAAGTAATCGAGATAATTATAACGCAAGATTGTTTCGGAGTATATTCGTTTATAGCTGTTATTTAAAAATATTGCTCTATTCTAGTAATTATTTTTAATTAAAAATATTAAAATATGTTATTATATGATACTTGAGCAAAATGTATAGTATGTAATAAAACTTCTTGGACTTTACCAGGCTAAAGTGGCTTAATTTCGTAATTATAAACTACGTATTTCAATTCGAAAGCGTTCTTGCGAATTTTATCCATTGCGACTGTAAATCGATCCGCGCGAGCTCACCGTCCCAGGTACAACATTTGCGTCCTTCTTCAGTTTGGAATGGGGTCATCTCTCGTTTACATTTGCGATAAGGGAATGCGATTACGCGCACCCACGTGCTACAAGTAAGCCAACCGTAGGTCGGAATTGTTTGCATCGCAAGTTGCTATCGTAACCGACCTCTCCTGTCTTACGCAGGCGCACGTGAACCTGCACCTTATGACAGGTAGATCGTTGACTCGAATAAGAAAAAATGGAAAGTGTCGAGGAGAAGCGTATGAAAGTGTGCAAGATGAATAAATCGATTGCACGTAAGTCGAATCAATTTTATGGGAGAAATGCAGTTTTCTTTAAAATAGATTTGTTAGAAAAGAAATGGGAATGGAAAAAATACGAATACTTATTTTGACATATTAAAATGAGTTTAAAATATATAAAAGATATATATTTTTTACAAAAAAATATATAATAAAATTAATCTTTAAAAATTTGGATTAAAAAATTATATATTTTTTCATTAAAATATTCTGTTCTCATACTTTTTCATCTTACAAAATATTGATAAATTGTATATTGATGGATTAGTGTGATAAGGATTGTAACTCAGATTTCTGAAAACATAATTGATTCGACTTTCATACGAACAATAATTACGAATTTCCCTTTCACGCAGTTGGCATACAATAGAATAACAGTTACGGTTGGAGAAACCTTCGAGTTTTATAACGTTACTAATGTGATTATTTTCCGTAACGCTTTCTAAGTAAATGTCTGATAAATTAGTGTTAATGCAAGGTATATTTAATATAAGTGTAAAAACTCTTGTGCACATTGGCAAGATTTGCTTAAGAAATATGATGTAAATGAGCGAAATGATTAATTAATTATTGATTGTTTTTGATTATAGTTTATCTTGATGATCAGCGCTATATGGAACGTATGGATTTAAATAGACGGTACGATGATCTCAGAGGTGAGTGGGCTCAGGTGTGAATAGAATATGCGCATAATTTAGTCTTGAAATACCACTTGAGAGAGAAGTCGGACGAGTCGGAGATTTCAACGACGTAAATCTTGCACAAGCATCATACACTCGTAATTCTCGCGCGGCAGCCACAAGATGATTATGAGAAAAATGACATTATTTATTGTTGCTGATTTTATAATTATTTGTATGCAAGCAGCTTCTTTATAGCTTCTTATAGCAGAATATACATATTTTTTTTTAAGTAATTTCTTATAAAATTATCTAAAAGTTTTAATATGTACTTTAAAGTGCGATTTTATATCGACTTCTCTCACGTAATTTGTGATTAGAAAAAAATGATAGCGCACGTATAAGCGTTTTATAATTCTGTTTGTATGACAGAAATTCTCTATGAATTATATTATTTTAAATTATCTACTTTATAAGAATGTTTATAATAATTTAATATGTTACATAGAATTTTTTGATTCCCGAGATAAGTTGAATATACTGTACTAAATAATCATTCAATCGATCCATTTATATTATATATATATATATATATATATATATATCCCTTAGTATGTTCTCTAAAACCTATTTTTCTATTATAGAAAAGGTGGAAAGATTCCAGAATTGGTTCGTGATCACAACGACGTTGACCTGCTTCTCACTATTGGGAATGTTGTACCTGCTGGGGAGAACTTTAATACGATGGGAAAGGATCCAAAATACCTTGCGAACCGTATTCAGAAAGAAGCTCGCAAAGGTAAGGTGTGATCTATAAAAATGAATTTTTTCAAAAAATTCATAGTTTTGCTACGACAGTCTCGTTTGTATTAAACGTTTAAATATAATGAACTCGTCTGAAGAAGAAAAGAGAAATAAATTAAAATTTAGCTAAATAATAAAAAAAAATTGAATTAAAAAATATACAAATTCTCTCAGAAAAAATAAAAAATTTTCTTATATTTTTTTCTACTTTTCTACTTTCTAAAGCCAATGGATGTTTATCGTAACGAATTTATTAAAGTGTTTTTTGCGCGAGGCGAATTGCAAGTACTTTGATCTAAATTTCGCAGGTAGCCAATAAAAATAAAGACGACATCGAGGCAGCTGTGAATAAACAAAATGTTCTCAAATTGACTATACCAAGCATAAGTGCCACAGTTGAACCAGAACCCAAGATTACCGAGAATAGTAGTAGTAATAGTAACGGGAATAGCACTACACCGAATACCACGAGTACTCCTCTATCACGGCGATGTGCCAGCGAGGATACCACTCTTGATTATGCGTATGATAATCCGGCAATGACACCAAGTCCAGAAACCGCGCAGCTTAGAACAAAAGTTCATGAGAGCTCATTTTAAGATTACAGATTTAGCATTTAACAGAACATGAAAAGATACGCGTAAGATTTTTCTCGATTTTAAATCGAAACAGATTTTAAAAGGAAATGAAAATGTTTGTACGTGTAAAAAAACACAATTTAAAGTTTCGCTGCGAAATAAGTTGGAACAAGCTTTGTGATAATAATTATTTTTATTGAGAAAGGAAAAAATATTCGAATATTCAGAATATTAAAAAAAAATTGTTTTATCGGAATCTTGAATGATTCTGGCTCAAGTGAGCAGGAAAATGGAAATAGGATGTGGCGAAGTACATATGAATGAAATGACGTGGCTACTATTTCTCCTATTTGATATTTTGTAATTGTACATTGAAGTATTTCATAAGGTTTTTCACGTTTCTATGAATGAGAATTTTTTGAGATATTGTAAACGCATAATAGAGTAAAGAACGATTAAATGAGAGAGATCGTTCATCGCCATTTGATCTTTCTTAAATGCTCGCGCGACTCTTTCTATATACTTTAAGGATTTTCTAAGAGCAATATTCACAGTTGATATGAATAACCACAGCCTTGCATAGAATAATTATTCATTTATTTTCTTCTTAATAATCTCTGAATCATTAAATATCGAGTCATGAAGCGAATAGCTTCATATTAATGACCAATCTTATCAAAACTTAGAAATATATAACGTATGTGATTGTTTTCTACTATTTTTCCAAATTACATTTCTAAATTACATTTAAAACAAGAAGAAAAGCAACATTTGCATTATAACAACGCATTATATTTTTAAGTCGAGATTGTGAGTATCGCTCTAATTACTTGTATAATTATAATATAGTACCGTAAGTTTGGAGTGACTCGTGAATGCGTATCACGCCTCCGCGAACCATGCGGCTGTGTGACTTAATTAACATTTAACACGATTAACGCGACATGCTCGCGAGACTTGCACAGATGCGCACAGTATAATCTCGTCGACTCTTGGTTTTAAGCTACTGTCATTATGGTGAAGCAGCTTCAACGAAATTGCAATACCAACATCTCCGCGCGCTATAAAAAAGATTATAAGTGCCTTAAAATTATTTTCTCGTTTATTTAAAGTTATTCTTTTATTGACTTTCTTTCGACATCTCTTATAACTATCTTTTTGTTAGTAAAGGCATTGTGCATCAATGCAAATTCAAAATTTTCAGAGTGAATATAGCTCTTATTTATGAAAATAGATTTCGACATTTTTTTTAAACTTATCTTTTTTATATTGAATTTTCTTATCCTAATAGTTTATAGTTACCCCTTAAATAATAGTTATCCTAATAATATATGCGAGAAGCACTAACGAATATTTAAAATATTTTTACAATTGCTCTTTCACAATGCATATTACACAATCGTTAAAATGATATCAATAGCACGAATTAAAAATCGATGCTCAAATTTTTGTTTACAAATTATGCATAGAGTGCATTCATATATTATTTAATGATAAGTACTTAGTAAATATCTTAAGAGAGAATCGCATCCTTATCAGCCATTCCGTCCATGAAAGGCCTTTCGAGCAAATGTGTGCAAGGCGCACTTTGCATAGGTCAGTGACGTTGCATGCGAGGACGCGAAGGGAGATCGATAATAATTTTATCGCGAACCAACGAGAGTCAACGCTTAAGACACATTCTAATGTTTCTAAAGCCCGATAACATAGTTCAAATAATTTTAATGAAATGCATATAAGTGTACTATTTTACTTAATTTGCTATTTATAATTTTGAAAAAATTTGAAAAATATTTACTTAGTTTTTTTAACTTAAAAAATATTGAAAATTTTAATGTTACTACTGAGAATAGAATTTTGCATAAAATATAAAGAATTTGCTCAAAATAAATGCGCTCAAATATCACTTGCTCCCTGTGGAATTTTTTCCGTTTATCCATTGGGAGAAAATGCTCAGTTGTAATGTGATTGCGATAGCGCGGAAATAGACCGGGAAGTGAGCGTGGCGCTAGAGAAAAAGATTCCGACGAGAAAAAGAGAAAGCGATAAGTCCCGATATATATCTATGTACAAAAAGTCTTGTCTTTTATTCTAATATAGTTACAAATATACTGTCTTTTAATTAACAACGAAAAAAAGATCGAAAAATCCAAGCTGAATTTTAGAGTTCTGCAAGCAACGGAGAGAATAAATATATTCCGCGAGCAATGTAAAGAACGTTTTTAATATCCGAAAACGAAATGAGCGCGTCAAAAACTTTTCGATAAAAGGCGCAGGTGCTCATCGATCGCGTCAATTTATACTCAAGCCCTTCTCGAAAGATCCAGATTTTTCATGAACTCGACGGAAACAACGTTTAAATTTAACGTGCTATTTGTTATTAGATCTTTCGAGAAGGACGAGCGTTGTTTTTGGATTTGCGCTGACAAAGCAATATCTCACTACCGGTCAAGGGCGCCGAATGAGCGGTCGGGCCTCGACTCTCCTTTTATTCGAGTACAATTATTCGAGTCTTAATATTTTAATGCTCGACTAGTTTTTAACATAATGAATAAACGAAAAAATGCTCAAAATAAGAAAGGTTTTTATGATTAATAATTCTTGAAATAAATTTCAATTTTAATTAAAAATTTTTACAATATTAAATAAAAATTAATTTACATGAAAGATAGCAAATTAAGTATATAATAACATTTTTTATGTGTATTCTTTTTACGAAATAATCAAATAATATTCTTGTAAATTGAAAATCAATTCTAATTAGAATTTCAAATAGATTGTATTCATTGATTTTATAATTTAAAAAAATTTAAACGAAATTTTAAAAAATGGTTTCAGCAATCGAATTAATCAAAAAATTTATGTTTATATATTTATAAAAATTAAATCAAAATTGGCATAAGAGCCACAGCGCAATAGTTGAGACGCATGAGAAAAAACAACACTTTCTTCTTATTGATTGTTGTTTATTTCAAATCTAATAACTACAAAAATAACGAACGTTTTAGATCGTCTTTGATCCTTCCTCAGCGCGATTAATAATATAAAAACAAATTATTACATTTTAAAAAAGGAGAAAAGTTTACTTCCTCCTCGAGGTGACGCAAAACTGTATCGCGCGGAAATCTAACAAGCCTGCAGATTCCACGCTTTTTCTTTTTCCATCCGTATATATTTGTTTATATGAAAAAAAATATACTTCGCCTATGTCCCGCAGACACCACTGACCTTAGATTTAATCATCTATACATTAGTTCATCATTCTTAGCTATTAGCGAATTAGCAATAATTTCATACACTAGGCGCAATTCTCACTTCACTATTTGATTCACTTTTCGAAAGTGTATCAACGTCTTCCAGAAACGAAGATATTAACTTTGCCCAGAGGCAGCTCCTAGTCTTAAGTTTTCGAATTGTAAATATAGCGGATAGTTTTTTAAGTTTCTGTTTTCTCCGCATTGATAGATTTAATTAAAAAGATACAAAGAAATTTCTCGTTTTCCTATTGTAAGTGTCAAGATAAAAATTAAAAATGACGATAGTTTAAAATCTTATAAATAAGCTTCTCTCAAACTTTTCTTCCAATGTACTTCAATTTTTATTTAATTTTAATTATTTTATTAATTATATTAGTAAACGCAAGAAATGTGGTCTTTTTATTTTGTTTTATAATAACAGAAAGAGAGAGAGATTGCATATTATGTACATACATATCAATATGATAGTAGCCGATTTTTTATGATCAACACATATTGCTTTTAATATTCTCAATCTTTCAAATCATTTTAGAAAATATTGAAAACATATTTGTTATTATTATTTTAGTATACTGAATCATTATCTTTGTTACAGGAACAATTAAATTTTTTACTTTATTTTTAGCGGAATATGTGCAGATCTATTTGAATTATTTTGAATGTAATGTTAAAACAACAGCGTGTTCTGAGATAAATGTAATAAAAAAATATTAACGGTGTGCCTTTTGACGAATTTTTTGAGCGTTGAAATATATTTATAATATAGAAAATATTGTAATTATGCGCGATAATATTGTACTTATTAATGTAAATAATATAATCCTGAAATAACGACCTACATACATGCGTAAAATATTAATCTTCAATGATTCAAATTAATTGTATTAGTTTTTAATTTAGGTTAATGCATGTGTGCCAAAATTTTATTTAAATTACTTTATATAATATATAATTACATATATATGCGGGTATGTTTATTTAATTTGTGTTAAAAATTATTGTCAATTTTTTGAACAATTAATATTTTATTCTCATGGAAATAATAACTATCTAATTTAAAATATTACATGAAATATATTAGAATTACATATATATTTTACGTATGTATAAAGGTGCCGTTTTTCGAAAAATATTGTTAGCATTGATATATCCACTACGTCGCATCACAAGACAGATAATTAAGAAGTTGTGGCTTGACTTTAGTCATGAAACTAAGCCGATTATAATTATTAAGATGTCAACAATTTGTAAACTTTGTCAATACGATTTTATAAAGTTTGTAAACGTTATAATATTTTTAAAATATTTTACTATATCATGCGTACGAAGAATTTTACTTATTATAAATATCAGTGGTTCAGAAAAATCGTAAACATATTACATTGTACATTTTTTAGAAATGTGTTAATGTCGAGATATATTTATACCTTATGAACTTTATACCGAATGAATGTTGGATATTTTACTGTTAGATCGCTTTCAAAAGAATGAATGTGTGCGTTTTTAATTACATGTTTCTGATGCCGCAATTTTCATGTTAATTATAAACGTGCGTTATTAATTGATCTTAATTACTCAGAGAAATACGGTAAAATATTTTTACGAAACAGCACACTTCTTGTAAATAAAGAGATATCAATATAATAATGAAAATGGAAAGAGATTCATTTTATCTTCGAATGTTACATTGAAAGATTACAGTATTTCTCTAATGTTTAATTCTAGTAAATCTTCTGACCAGATTAATCTATCGAAAAAGATGGTGTTACGATTATTTTCTTTGATATTTATGTATTAAAATAGTTCTAAGTATTATATTATATATTATTAATATACTTAACAATAAATTGATCTTTGATACTCGTCAGAGTATTTTTTTTAAGTACCTAAAGATTTAATTGCTGATGTATCTATAGAATTAATAAAATACGAAATTGAGATTTTTGTGAAGGATCTACGTACAAAACATTAAGGTCGAAAAATAGGCTTTGCAAAATATTTCTCAAATATTCTTTTCCTTTTTTTTATGTACTTTCGAAAATGTTTCATTTTGATATAATAAATATATTTTATATTATTTGATTTTGCAATTTTTATAGCAATATTTTGATGCTTAATGCTTTATATATTAATTTATAAAATATAATTATACAATTATATTTTATAAATATACTTATACTTTTGTATAACAATTATACAAAAAGTGTTATTCTTATTAGCG